GGGACTCCAAAATATTCGCCCTCCAAGACAACAACCTCTACCTCAGTGGTCCTTACACATGATCCTCAATGCCCTCACTCACCACCATTCGAACCAATGGCTACCTGTAATCTCAAGTTACTTTCTTTAAAGACATAATTCCTTGTTGCAATAACGTCTGCCAAACATGCCAGTGAATTAGCAGCCCTCAGATCATCCACCTTATCTTCAATTTCATCCAGACAAGGTCACCCTCTATTTTGGTGTATTGTTTTTACCCAAAATTGTCTCTGATTTTCATCTTAATCAACCATTGATTTTGCCAACCTTATTTCCATCTCCCTCCGTGCCCCTCAAGCGCATGCTCCACATGCTTGATGTACGGCGTTCTGTAGCCTTCTACATTGATAGGAGCATTCAGGAAGTCTTCAAGACTTTTCTTATGCTTTCAAGGCCCTCATAAGGGTGCTCCAGCCTCATCTCTCACTGGATTGTTCAAACTATATCATTGGCTTATGAGCTTTCAGGCAAGACACCTCCTGAACATTTGAAAGCTCATTCTCCTAGAGCACTTTCAACTCTACCACTCTCCACTGTGGAATAGAGCTCCCACACAACCGCCGTTCAGCTACTTGGTCTAACCCATTGACCTTTGTGGGACACTATTGTCTTGATGTCCGGGCAAAGAATGATGCTGCATTTGGCAGAGCGATCCTGACATCTCTTCTACTGTGACATCCCACCATCCAGTAAGTGAGTTTGTCAGTCACCCAACTGTGTGCATTATTCACAGAGGTCACAAAGAAGAAAGAGAGGTTACCTACCTGTAACCATGGTTCTTCTAGTGGTCCTCTGTGAATCCACACATCCCACCCTTCCTCCCCTCTGTCCATCATGTTGTCCTTGAATACAGTACCTTGACAGTGATGGACTGTTATAGGAACTGAGGGGACGCTGGGAGCATGCAATCCACAGGGGAACGTCTCATTATCACATGTTTTTAAGCCTAGAAACTTCTGAAACATCCTGCACAGGTGCAGAACAACCCAATTGTGTGCATTCACAGAGGACCACTAGAAGAACCATGGTTACAGGTAGGTAACCTCTCTTTTTATGAGCAGAGCAGCCTTAATCCAAAATTAATGTAGTTACAGGCTTAATCAGAAACAAGTGCTTGACACTTGTTTCCGATTAAGTGGCAATTTTGCCATCTTTTACTTTGCCGACTTCAGACAGAGATGGCAGTAATAGACATCCATAGAGCAAACACTGTGTGTGCCTGTGTGTGCACATGCGCGCGCACACAAACAAGGGGGGAGAGAAAAAATATTGGTAACAAGTTTCTTTGCATGTGAAATAACGAATTACATAAATGAAATGTAAAATAAGTAATGGTGGATGACCTACAATGCTTACACTAAAATCTGTGAGTGCAAAAATAATTCATAGTGTCTACTCTCTGCTTGTTTCTACAGTTGGGCAATACACAGGTTCCTATGCTTTAGGACAGAGGTCCCCAAGCCCCGGTCTGTGGCCCGGTGCTGGTCCGTGGCCTGAACTGGACTGGGCCATGGAGAGAGACCTCCCGCCCGCACTCCCCCCCCGCGTAGCCCGTTTGCACCTGTGCACAAGTGCGGCCGCACCCACATGAGCACTGTGCCATCCTTTGCACATGCTCACGAGCACAAGCGTGCCCACACAAGAAAGAGTGCACTCGCATGAGTGCTGCACTGCCCTATGCACATGCACACAAGCATGCACACAAGAGAGAGAGAGTGTGTGTGTGTGCATGCGCAGGGGGTGCCCCGCCTTCCCCAGCCAGTTTGCGGGGCTAAAAAGGTTGGGGACTGCTGCTTTAGGGCAATGTAGATGAAACAAGGAGAGATATGTCCTGGAGCTAACCCTGCTTGGCTAGGAGGCTGTTGCCAGTTGGCCAGCTTGTCTGCCTGTCTGTCTTTTAAAAGTTTCAGCATCTTTGTTCTACCTCCCCTTAAGCCAGAGACTCAAGTGTCAATGCATGGCATCAAAGTGTTTCTGGTAGAAGGGGAGACAAAACTGTATAAGGAACAGCAGAATGAAAAATTACTTTAAAGTAAGAAAAAAAAAACAAATTGAGGCAGGGAGAGTAAATTGAATGGAAACATGAGAAGAAAATGGATGTTTTTAAAAAGAATAAATTCATAGACATAGTACTAATTTGGTGAGAAATTAATTTTGATTAATTGGAAAGGGATTATTGGAAAGGAATGTATTAGGTTTATATCTGGGCATTAAGGGGCTGTCATACGAAACACATGTTTTGTGATTATTTCATTGAAGAGGAAGTCTAGGTGGAAAATTAATTTTGCATGGGAAATCTGAATAGTAGTTATGTGAAGGAGAGGACAGGGAGGCTCAGCTCCCCCTCAGTGTGCTGTCCCTTCTCCTTCCCGGGACGTAGAAACCAGCTCAACCCCATCCAAAGACAGAAAAGGTTCTCCAACACAGTATGACAAAAACCCGAGAAAGATACAAAACTGAGGAAAAGGAAAATGTACAAGGGGGTGGAGTTAGAACAAGTAAGTGAAGGGATTAAAAGGGATGGAGGTGGAGAGAAAGGGGGAGACACCAGAAATAGCGGAAGGAGATAGTTATATGGCAAGAGTGGAGAAACCTGAGGAAAAAGAGATAGAGGAGTGGTTGTGGATAGTGAAGAAAGACCCAAGGACTAAAATTGGGTTTGTTTTAAAATTCCTAGGAGTTATGCAGAGATAGAGTGGCAAGGGAGACCCCCTAGAAAGCCATCGTATTGGGGGAGAGGGAATGGGGGCATTAATTATAGAAAGAGTGTGAGAAGACTGAAAGATGTAGACAGCAAAAGGAGAAGTTAGGTAAGATAAGGAAGGAAAAAGAATTGAGACTGAGAAAAGAACATCAAGAAAAAGGATGGAGTGGAGGTCATGGAACATACTGTGGGGAAATTGTATGCTTTTACAATGTATGTAGCAGACATTGTGCTTGGGCTCAGGTCAGTTTCCAGTAAGGATGATCATTAACCTACTTTGGTATCTAGGATAATTTCCTGTCTCTGGGTAAATTGTATCAACTTACTTGTGTATTTAAAATGTTATCTGTCTATGTTTACCCTGCTCTGTATTCAGGCATGTTTATCCTGCTTGTGTATTTAGGATTTACATGCCTCTATTTACCGGCCCCTCTGTTTACCATACTTGTGTATTCAGGATATTAACCGCCTCTGTTTAGAATAGTTTTTGATTAACTTGTTCAAAGGCAGATCCCGATAATAAACGAGGGCAAGGCGAAGGAGGGGGAGTTCTCACTGAACAGCATGCTACACAGCACACTGTTTTAGTCCATCCGGATCCCGCCCTGAAACCCACACTCGAGTGCTTCGCCTTTTCCTTTCTCCTTGCTGGTCAAGAGGGGAGGGAGGCTTCATCTGCAGATCCCGACATTAGGTTTCATCTGCAGATCCCGACAACATACTCCAGTAAATAATCAACCTCACAACATATACTTCCAGGGGCAGGAAAGTGTGAGGAGGAAAGAGAACTGGTCAATAGAAGGGTACAGGAATGTTGAAAGAAATTTGGTTAATGCTACCCTGGTGTGAGTGGGTTCAAGCTTAGGTTCCTTCCATCCTCCCTTACTTTCCCCCAAATCGCCAACAGCTGGTCAAGATGCATAAACTTTTTATTAACAGATAACAGTAAGCTATGAACAACCACTTTGGTAGAACCAATGGGTCTGTTTAATATGTCTCTTTCTGTCCAACTGTCTTTGAAATTGGGCATAAAGAATGACTTCACCAACGGGGGTTCACCCCAAAGCATTTGTAATCTGTCAGTTTCCGGGTGAGGTTCCTTAGGTTGGGGCAAATGGTCCCACAACAAGGGTGTAGAACCCATTCTCCTTCAGTCGGTGTCTTAGGTTGGGAGCTCAGCAACAGTTTCCCTCCCTTCTTCCAACGATCATCCCCTTTGGTGTGTGTGTGTGTGCGTGCGCGTGCGTGCGTGTGTGTGTGTGTGTGCGTGTGTGTGTGTGTGTGTGTGTGTGCGCGCGTGCGTGCGTGTGTGTGTGTGTGTGTGGTGTGTGTGTATTCCAGTTGTACAGCTATTCCCTCTCTTCCCTTCCTTTGAGTGTCCTCTCTCCCTGTCTCTTTTAGCCTCGGTTGTAGTCTGCATATAATACTATTGCCTTCTCTCTTTTTCTTCAAGAGGTAATTTCATTCAGGCTTTCTCTCTGGCCCATGGATCCTCCATTCTAACCAACCCCATCCTAATGGTATATCTTCTTCCTTTTCCTCTCTTCCTCCTCGTCTATCCCTGTCTCTCAATTCATCTCTCCTTTTATCTCTCCCCCTGCCTCTGTCACCAGATACCCCTCTTCTATTGGTGTTCCTTTCCTAACCGTTGTTATCCCACCCTTTTCTCCTCTCCTTTCCCTGCTCTTTTTCTCTTGCATCCTCAACTGAGCCACCACTGGTAACAGAGTATACTGTAAATAGTTTCGTAACTCTGTGATGAGTTTGAGGGGATGGCTCACTCTCCTTCTTTCTGGTGGAGGCTTCCTCCTTCTCACACCTGGTGATGACCATGGAGGGGGTGTCGAATCAACAGTTGGACATGTTGGGTGAACCCCAAGAGTCAGGTAGTCAAGTCTGAATGTAAGACTGATGCCTGTGAGGACCCTGACAAAGTTATTATTGATAAGTTACCTGTTCCCTCAATGAAACTGTTTATATTAAAAGAAGACAACAATCTCTGTCCATCTTTTGGGCGGGGGGCTTGACTGGTGAGGAGGACGTGGCTAACCAGGATCACGGGTTAAACTTGTAGGTGATCTATTTGTTAGCTACTATGGCTTCTGACCATATATGAACATTTTAGTAAATCCTAAGAATAAAATGTTAATACTGATACTACCAGTAACATGTTATAAAACATTTGTATACCGCAGTGCTGTGTAAGAGCCTATGAGAAGAAAAAGAATCAAGTGTCCTGTTTGCTAATTTTTCATAGGGAAGAGAAATCAACATCTTTAGAAGCAAGATGGAAAGATTCAGCAGAAACAGTAATTATTGGAGGTGGCTGTGTTGGTGTGAGTCTTGCCTATCACCTGGCCAAGGCTGGCATGAAGGATGTACTTCTGCTGGAAAAATCTGAACTCACTGCTGGATCTACCTGGCACGCAGTAATAAAGATTTCTTATATATTATGCATGCAAAAAGATGAAAGATTTGTTTTCCTGCCCAAATCATAAAATCACAACATGTTTCATTGCTGTGATTAAAGAATTAAGGATGAACTTTAGCAAGTCATTTCAGTTATCAGAGATTCAGTGATCTCTGTTTTATGCAATGGAAACTGCTATATAGATGAAACTCATTAATTACTGATACTGACGCTGTTTCCCTGAAAATAAGATAGGGTCTTTTATTAATTTTTGCTCCAAAGACACATTAGGGCTTATTTTCAGGGGATGTTTTGTTTTTTTCCATGTATAACAATACATTTATTCACCTACAGTCATGATGTCAGCTTCTTCTGGCTGCTGCACAATGAGTTGCTGGTGGAAGATGGGGTTTCACTTAACCAGGGCTTATTTTTGGGGTAGGCTTTTATTATGAGCATCCTGAAAAATCATACTAGGGCTTATTTTCAGGTTAGGTCTTATTTTCGGGGAAACAGGGTAATATGGGAGGGGGCCATTGTTGTTTGTACATTGAGGCTGCTGTAATGGGAACAGAGTGCATGCTTATCAAAGTGACTGGTCATTGCAATAGCTATTGTGAACACCTGAAGCAGTTTTTCAATAACTGCTATGTTATCTAGGCATTGAAGGACTTCAGACATGTTGGTCAAAATCCTGTTGCTTAGTGTAGTAAATCACTCTAGAGTAGGCCCACAGCATTAGTGAGGATTTGGTGAGGCAATGCCTACATAAGTTCCATTGAGTCAAATGAACCGATTCTAACTAATTGCGTTTAGAATAGGCCTGTCTGAATCAACGGAACTCATAGACTCACTAAATCCCCATTTATTCAATGGACTTCATCTAGTGCAATTTACTACCCTAAGCAACATGATGTACTCATTGAGAGTTAAACGTGAAATGCACTAAAAATAGGGAATAAATACTTGTGGAAGCACAAACTAACACTGATACTGTTGTACCTAAATCAATATTTTGTATCATTTAATTCTGCCTCTAACTGTCAAGGTTGTTTTTTAAGGTAATGCAGAGAGAAAATTAATTTCACAGAAGCCCCTGGTTATACTGACCATAGGATTCACAGAAAAGTAATTTATTTATATTTAAGTAGTTAGAAGAGACAGCTTGCCCTGGGAGAGCATGAAGGGATACAGGAAGATCCATATTATATTAACTGTATGATGACATTGTTATTTGCCAATAATAAGTTGTTTTCAGTAGCTTGTAGTCACATTGTAATACTAGATATCATCTCATATGTCAGTGAAGATTGCTTTAGTAAAGCAAGTTAGATGTAGTTAATGTATACCATATATTCTGAAGTGGTGTATGATTATAATTATGACATATGTTCACATATTACTGTAAAGAGCTGAAGCAGCATTTGGTAGTCTTCATAGAAACATAGTGAATTGTGCACATATATTTTGATTACACTGTACTGCAAAATGAGTATTAGCAAAAGTTCAAACTGCAGTTTATGGCTTGGTGCTTAAATACATAACCTGTTTAAGCTGGTGTAATGTCTGATCAGCTGGCTCTTGGTCATCTTGGCCAGTTAGGATTGTGTTCATCTGAATCCAATACCCAGTTTTTCAGGTGTTCCAAAATTCTTTATTGCTTTTGCTGCATTATATTAACAGATTTAATAATTGGAAAATTGACTTAAAAGTACAGCAGAAAAATTGAAACAGCTTTTATATCATCTTTTTATGGTTGCCTTTTAAAGGCAGGTTTGACGACATATTTCCATCCAGGAATAAATTTGAAGAAAATCCATTACTACAGCATCAAGCTTTATGAAAAATTAGAAGAGGAAACTGGACAGGTGATTTTAAATATACTGATTAAAATGTGATATGTCACACTGTTGCAGAATGTTTTACAAGCTTGGGGCTATCTGGGGCTACGCAATTTCTCACCATGTAAATTTATTTGGCATTCATCTAGATTTCACATTGTTTAACTGCCAATTCAGAGTTTATAAATGATGCATATAAAGTTATTAAAATTCTTGACGGAGAACAAAAGAATAAATAGATCTTAAAAGCTTGGGAGCAATGTAGTTATCACATATTGTGAAACATAATGAAAGTATTTGCGAAGGCTTTCATGGCCGGGATCTAATGGTTGTTGTGGGTTTTTCGGGCTTCTTGGCCGTGTTCTGAAAGTGGTTCTTCCTAACGTTTCGCCAGTCTCTGTGGCCGGCATCTTCAGAGGACAGCAAACTGTGCTCTGGGTAGGCTTGAGAGGGGGTGGAGTATTTATGGCTGTGAGAAGGCTAGTTTGTGAGGTAGGCTATTGTCCTGATCAGGAGATGGTTGATTAGTGTGTTTTGTTGTGGCTGTATTGTTTTGATAAGGAGGGGAGATTATCTGTCCCTGTGGTTGATGGGTGTCATTAGCTGGTTTTTTGTGTGCAGTAATCCCTTGACCTTGTGGCTGGGGGGAGTTCCTTGACCTTTTGCACTCTGTGTTTTTGAGAGCTGGGAGCCAGGTTTTGTTGAGTTTCAGACATTCCTCCTTCCGGTTGAAGTTTTGTTGATGCTTGTGGATTTCAATGGCTTCCCTGTGCAGTCTGACGTAATGATTGCTGGTGTTGTCCAGTATTTCAGTATTTTGAAATAGAATTTCATGTCCAGTTTGTTTTATGGCATGTTCAGCTACTGCAGATTTTTCTGGTTGTTTTAGTCTGCAGTGTCTCTCATGTTCTTTGACTCTGGTGTGGATGCTTCATTTTGTGGTTCCAATGTATACCTGGCCACAACTGCAAGTATCTGTTCCAGAGAGCTGGGAACCCTCCACAAATAAGATTTGAGTACCCTGGAGGGTGAGGGAGAAATAAGCATTCTTCTGTGGGTTCACATGGAGGGTAGGAACTTGCACCCTCAAGGATCAATTAATGGGCTTCTTCTGTCAGTTCAAGAATTGAGCGGGATCCTGGCATTAGTGTTTGCAAACTAAGTAGGAAGCCATATTAAAGTATAAGTTATGTAAAGAAAGCTTCGTAATGTTGATTACATTATTGTTCCCTCTTAAATTAATTGGAAGTTATTAATCCTGTGACAACTCTATATTTATACCATAGTTGTTTTTATAAATATAATGGTTGTTCTGGGTTTTTCGGGCTCTTTGGCCGTTTTGTTCTCTCCTCAGCTTACTTCCGTGTATGAGACAACCCTCAGTTTTTAGTCTAAAGATTTTAGAAAAAAGTATAGTCTTATACACAGAAAAATACGATACTTCTCTCAAAGCAGTCCACATTTCGCCAGTCTCTGTGGCCGGCATCTTCAGAGGACAGCAACCTGAGGGTGCAGTCCTCTGAAGATGCCAGCCACAGAGACTGGCAAACGTTAGGAAGAACAACCTTCAGAACACGGCCAAAGAGCCCGTAAAACCCAGAACAACCATTAGATCCCGGCTGTGAAAGCCTTCGCGAATATATTTATAAATATACTTTGTTACGATTAGTTAATGTTTTTTAATGGACTTCATGTGTGCATTCTAATGTTTGAAATGTGATTGTCTCTTTTCTCATCATATTAGGCTGTGGGTTTTCATCAGCCAGGAAGTATTAGAATTGCTACAACCCCAACAAGAGTGGATGAGTTTAAATACCAAATGACTCGAGCTGGTTGGCACCCAACAGAGCAGTATTTTATTGAACCAGAGAGAGTGCAAGAATTATTTCCCTTATTAAATATGGAAAAGGTAAAAGAATTCATTTGAAAATAATCTTTATCTCTTTTGTTCTTGTCTATTAATAGATTCAATTTGTTTATAAATTACACATAGCTGTCTAGTTCCCTACTTAAATAAACCCAAATATTTGGATCTTCCATATTTCTTTTCTCTTGACTGAAAATATGTACCTAGCAAAATTAACCTAATTTCATTTTGTTTGCCTCATTTAGATCTTGGCTGGTTTGTACAATCCTGGAGATGGCCATATTGACCCTTATTCACTTACTATGGCCTTGGCTGCAGGGGCTAGGAAATACGGTGCTCAGTTAAATTATCCAGTTCAAGTAACTAATCTGAAACCTAGATCAGATGGAACATGGGATATTGAAACACCAAATGGAATAATTCGAGCAAACAGAGTTGTGAATACTGCTGGTAAGAAATGAACAGAATTTTAATGCTATTGGAAGTTAAAAAGCAAATCATTCAGCTATACACTTTAAGGCATTTCACACTAAATGCAAAGAGAGCACTACTGCTGTAGTGGATGCCTTGCAGAAAGTAACTAATTTATTCCATGTATTAATCAATGGTTCCCAACACTGGGTAACCCAAGTGTTCTTTGACTGCAGTTCCCAGTTATGCTGGCCAGAGTTTCTGGGAGCAGTCCAAGGACACCTGGGTTACTCAATGTTGGGTATCACTGAACTTTCAAATGATGGCCTCATCAAATATGAGTTGGCACAAAGCTGTGAATGCTTTCCACCTCCCCCACAATGGGTTGTACTATAGAAGAATAATATATTATAGTCTATGATGGTAATAAGCACATTATTTTATTTCTTATTTTTTTAAAATGCCATTGCATTGATCAGTGAATCTTCCATGCAAATTAGTTTAAGACCAGGATATAGGTTTCTGTGTATATTTTGGCATTTCATATTAAAAACAAAGCACACTAATTTGCAGGTTACGGAGGTTGAGGAAACTTCCTCCTATTTTCTCATCACTAATGATTTCTCTCTGTTGTTGAGTGGATATCTGTAACATACAGTTGAGGCCTAAAGTGGATCTGCAAAATGTTGTTTGTAACTTAGCAGAAACTGTAATTTGTGAAGTCAGATCTGAAGTCTCGAAGTGGTGGCAGGATACCTTTATGTGTAAAAGGTAATAAAAGGGTGAGTGTGTGAGTCAGCAGTCTTTGAGCAACTGGTTGAGATGAAAGGTAAGCAGCTCCTTTAATAAACCCACTGCATTTGAGTTAGCAGTATGAACTTAGTACAATAGGACTGACATTAACAGTAAATTATTATATGTTTCGGAGAGGTGGTTATGAAAGGAAGCAAGAAGATTGGTTTTAAGAATGTTAGGAACATACTCTTGTAGTTTATTTACCCACACCAACCCAGACCATTAATCAATACCAGGTCTCAATGCCCCTTTGGCTGAACATTGAAAGTAAACAAGTGTAGCTCTGGTTTAATAAGTTAACCAAAGAATAGAAAAAGCCTGATGAGGTGACACTACTTTGCAATTCATAATTACAGTATAATGCTCTTAATTAGAAGTAAGTAATAAAATGTAGTGTCGTGGATACAGTGAAGGACTACAATTCAGTGGAACGGGATTCAAATTCCTGTTAGAATCATAAAATATTCAAATTGGAAGGGCTTTTAAGGCCATCAAATCAAACCACCTGCTTGATGCAGGAATACCAGTCAAAGGATATCTGCCAGGTGGTTGTCTACATTTCTCTTAAATGTCTGCAGTGTTGGAGCAGTCACAACCTCCCAAGGTAATTGGTTCCACTGTCTTACTGCTCTAACAGTTAGGAAGTTTTTCCTGGTATTCAGCTGAAATTGGGCTTCCTGTAACCTTAGCACATTGTTGTGTGTCCTGCACTCTGGAATGATCAAGAACAGATCCTGCCCCTCCTCCATATTACAGCCTTTCAATCATTTGAAAAGTGTTATCATATCACCCCTCTGTCTTCTTTTCTCAAAAGGGACGTGGGGGCGCTGCGGGCTAAACCGCAGAAGCCTGTGCTGCAAGGTCAGAAGACCAAGCAGTTGTAAGATCGAATCCACGCAACGGAGTGAGCTCCCGTCGCTTGTCCCAGCTCCCGCCAACCTAGCGGTTCGAAAGCATGCAAATGCAAGTAGATAAATAGGGACCACTTCGGTGGGAAGGTAACAGTGTTCCGTGTCTAAGTCGCACTGGCCATGTGACCACGGAAGATTGTCTTCGGACAAACGCTGGCTCTATGGCTTGGAAACGGGGATGAGCACCGCCCCCTAGAGTCGAACACGACTGGACAAAAATTGTCAAGGGGAACCTTTACCTTTACCTTTTAAACATTCCCAGTTATTTCAGTCTTTCCTCATAGGTCTTGGTTTTGTGTCCCCTGATTATCCTTGTTGCCCATCTCTGAACTTGTTTAGCCATGGAAACTCACTGGAAGATGGCAGTGGTAAAACCACTCCTTAAAAATCTTACGCACCTTGATAACCCTTTTAGGATTACTATAAATCATATGCACAGCAGGCCGAGGCAAAGAGGCAGTCCCGAAACCAGCAAAACCAGGGAGCTGGACAGGGGACAGACTGTAGTTGTCTTCAGTGTGGAAGAGATTGTCACTCTTGAATTGGCCTTCTCAGCCACACTAAATGCTGTTCCAAGACCTCCATGCAGAGCACATTACCATAGTCTCTTGAGACTGAAGGATGCCTACATGCAAATCAGATGCAACTTGACAGCACATAACAAAAAGAAAATGTATAAAATAATAATAATAGTAAGGTGACTCTATCAGTCTGACAGCTGTAAGATGCATAGAGGAGCTTCAGCTCATTGGAACCTAGAAAAGCTGCCTGCACCCTTTGTTGAAATGTTTAATGCCATGTTTTAACACCAGATAGCTTTTTTCATGTGGAATTGCATGGGAGGGCTGTAGCTCACTGGTAAAACATTTTCTACAACATTTACAAGGAAGTAATAACCAATAACTAGTTATAATTAATCCCTTTTTGTAACACTTAAGGCTTAGCTCAGTTACTTTACACTTATAACTTAACTGAAGGTAACTTCACTCCCTTTGTAGGATAGCTGTAGCTTCTTAATTACCTTTATTCACAAGAGTGTAACCTTATTGAGAGATGGAGGAGCAATATTACATGGTTCAAATGATGAATCATGGTGTCCTTCATGCTCTCGGTGCGCAGTTAAAGTGATGGTGAACAGTTGAAAGTAGACGGGAGAAACATGGCTTGGAGCAATCAAATACTTCTAAAGTAATTAGTTCAGTTTCTTTTGAGAAACATGAAAATATAGTACCTATTTCTGAGGCAGCAACAATCTTAAAATTGTAACTAATAACTTGTTCAAAGTAACATTCCAAATTCTGAATTTACATACAAAAGGTGCAAGGTTTAATCTTTGTCAGAGCAAGGAGGGACAAAACCCCATGTTTAGATCTTAAAAGCTCCTTGAGGAATATTCATTTCCTCAATGGTGAGCTAGATGGTATAATATTCTTTCAGTATAAGGAGCCTGGCATATCAGGAGTGCAGTCACAATCTGTTATATCACAATGGAAATGTATTAAAGATTACAACGTTTTACTTTTTGGGCCACAACTCACAGAATCCTGTAGCTAGAATGGGAACTGTAATTAAAAACAAACTTTCCAAGTTTCTCAAAACATATAAAATGCATCACACTGAGCTGAAATGAACTGGGATGTGTGGAAGTTATAACATATGTGACAATTTTTATGTATAGATTAGTTTTCATACTGTTATACAAAAATATACGTTGTAATGCATTCAAGTCTTTGTGTCAATCTTTCTGCAATAAGAAAACATAGTACAATGGACTGGATCCATGTTTGTGCTTAAGCAGATATCTTTCTGAGCAAGAGGTGGTATGGTTTTTTTCTGATTTGTGGTCCACCTTTTTGCAGCCCCACTACCACCTCTTTTATTGTCGCAAAGCTTTGGTGATCTTCTGCAACAGCATAGAATGTGGCACAATTTCAGTCCTATTCCAAACATTAACCTATGTTGTTTACTCTGAAAATAGATTTGCCCTTGGTTTCCAAGTATTCTGCTGTTGTTCTAATATTTGTATTAGTGAATTATTAGTTGGACTGTGTTACTTGGCCTGAGGTGTAGATGTTTGTATTTTTAGTGGGGAATTTTTTAGTGGGTGGGGAGTGTTTGGGGAATGTTATGTGTGTGCTTGTGTCTGGTCTCTGGGTGTCTGTGAATTTCGTTGTATGGGTATACTGTGTATATACTTACAATGACAATAAATTATTAT